GCCTCGTGCTTAAGAAAAAATATAGTTATTATTAACATAATTTCACATGTACTCGATTTCATGCACATTGAGCTAGGAAAAAAAATGTGATAATTCATAAAACAAAACCAAAGCATTGAACAGCTGCAGATAAACGGTGCACGATTCATCAATGATTAGCAAGAACTCGTGTGTTCTTTTTTTGTAGATTTGATACTCTTGTGACAAAGTTTCCTCAATAACAGAGTTTAAGAATAAATATTTACCCTCAGTGGCGTAGCTAGCGGGGTGCTGACCGCAGCGGGTGACACCATCCCAGGGAGAAACACCAACTTGAAAAAAGGGCATATTTATAGAGCGCACACTGCTCGGTCAAACCGAATTTCATTAAAGGATAACCGATCTAACGTCAATTTTCCACACATGTAACCAATCAAAATTCGTGCTTTGTTAAAAGTGCAAGGTTGGTGCGCCAGAAATGAGATGACCCTATGATTAGATAACAATACAACGCCGCTTTGACCATAATTCAACATGATTCAACGCCGATTGAAGTCTTCGGTAACTTTCGTGACAGGAAGCGAGACTTATCTAAATTCTAAGAAATAATTAATTCTTTCCTGTGGTGCTGGGTGGCCGAGTGATCTAAACTGAGCAAATCTCAAGTTGGTGGTCTGGAGTTCAATTCCAGCTAGAGCAAAAACACCACCAGATGGGACTCGTTAACCTTGGACGGCAACTCATCTAAGAGAAGGAAACTCTGAAATCAAACCCGGAGATGGAGTCCCGAAAGGCGGATAACATTGATACAATGAAACACTCCGACAACTCCTGCGAAGACGTCACTGGTGCCAAGCTGTATCATCCAATGATGTTCCCTTGGGTTACCCAGCGGCGTGGAGAGAGGCGATTTGCTGTTGGGAACCAGCTTATAATCCTTCAAGTATAATAATCCCAGGCTATGTGGATTTCGTCCTACGAAGCCCACTTCATCGTCACATTGTGACGGACGGATGCCAGCAAAATAAAAAAAAAAAAAAAAAAAAAAAAAAAAAAAAAAATTCTTTCCATTGATACCAAATACGATGTGGTCGGGCAAATCTAAGGAGGCCCTACATGAATCTAATCGGAAAAAAATAAAAACATTAAAAAAAAATTTTTTTTTTCATTTATACAAAATAACAAAATAATATTTTACAAAATTTCTAATATCTTTTAATAATTAATATATAGATCTAAATTTATTTTAATTATTTAAAAAAAACAACAAATATATCGAAACCCAGAATAAATAAAAAATTAATATTTTGCCGACTCGTCAATAGCACCGCCTCTTAACATTTGTGCACGATTATCACGATTGTCTTTTACATGCTGTCTGTGATTTCACGTTCGTCTACTCAAGGAAGTTAATCTCACAATCCAGTATCTGCGTCACTTGGTGAAACATGCTATTGAAAAGGTACCTTTAAAATCAGACCAATATGGAATTTCGATAGAGAGAAGATTAAGGTTTAAGAAGAGAATGGCAGGAGAACAATTAATAGATGCTGGATTCTCTCTGCGAGAAGAAAACAGCAGGGAGATTCTGGACTGGTTATTATTATTTTATTTTTAAAATTCATAGCTGAATGGGACTTCCTAGAATGTCTTCCAATACTCTCGGTATGGCTTCAAATGTTTCTTACGATCTGTGTGTCTGTGGCTTCGTGTGGGAGGAGCTTTTCAAAACAAAGGCTTATCAAGAACAATGTACGATTCACCATGGGACAGTCAAGACTTTCTGATCTGGCTCTACAATCAATTAAAAGTGATATGGTGAAGGATAAAATTGATTTTGATCAAGTCATTGCCAGGTTTGCAGCTTTGAAGATCAGGAGAGGAACATTTTAAATTAAGTAAATTTAATGTAATTATAACTTTACGCTGTTACAGTTCTTATAATAATAATACATTTACCTCCTGGCCTTTAATTAATTCGCTTTTTTTCTTGTCATTGTTATAATGTGGACTTATTTTAACAAGAAGAATTCCATATTGAAAAAGTGGGGGGGGGGGGGGGTGAAACTATGAGTTTACCGCACCAGGTGACACCAACCCTACTGCTTAGATTTATGAGAGTCCCAACTGATTTTCTCTTGTTAATATCACGATAATAAAAAATCTTCCCCAGCTATTAGCACGCACTCTTTTTTAAATTATTTTTTTAAAATGAGAATCCAGTAGAAAGCTAAAAACAAGTTTATGTGACATAGCATTTATATTTTTGTGCCGAATGTATGCTGTTTATAATAATGACCCGTTTTGAAAGCTCCAAAAGTGTATAGACCATGCTGCATGACAATTTTGTTTGACGCTATTGTGTGAAGCAGGGCTGTGTTCTGGCTCCCACACTCTTCAGTATATGTATTCTGCAATGCTGTCTGATGCATTAAAGGACTTTACCACGGGCTTGCCAATCCGGTTTCGCAGTCTTCATCCTTAAGAGGCTTCAAGCTAAAACCAAGGTCAAACATAACACCATCAACGAGCTTCTGTTTGAGGACGATTGTGTCCTCAACGCTGCCTCAGAAGCCACCATGCAAAACAGCGTTGATGTCTTCTCTGATGCCTGCAATAACTTTGGCCTCACAGTCAACACAAAGAAGACTGAGGTGATGTATCAGCCAGCTCCTAGTAAGCCCTACGTTGAACTCAACATCAGCATCAGCGGTCAGCGTCTTAACGCGGTGGATAAATTTACTTACTTGGGCAGCACCCTCTCCAGATCTGTCCTCATGGATAATGAAATGAATGCCATACTAGCAAAAGCATGTGCCCTATTTGGCAGGCTCCGCAGCACTATTTGGGACAGGAGAGGTATCCGACAAAAATCGAAGATCAAGGATAAAGCACAGCAGTCCTCTTGACATTGCTCTACGAATGTGAAACCTGGACAGTCTACCAGCGTCACGCCAAGAAACTGAACGATTTTCACACAACATGTCTCAGGAAACTCCTCGGCATCAGGTGGCAAGACACATCTTCATCCCCCTGATGCAGTCTCAACTCCGTTGGATCGGACACGTAGCCCGCATGGAAGACCACTGGCTCCATAAACAGATATTCTTCGGAAAACTCACGATAGGCAAGAACTCACAAGAAGGTAAAAAAAACAAAAAGTGTTACAAAGACTCACTGATCGCTGCACTTAAGGCCTTCAGCATTAAATCTACTAAATGGGCGCAGACAGCCCAGGGCAGAGCAAGGTGGAGAAAAGCTGTCACGAAGGGGCGAAATCTCATAAAGCCAGTTGTATCACCACGGCTGAGACACGCAGGCTAAGACTGAAAGAGCAATAGTGGATCACCGACTGCACCAACTATCCCCTGCCCTGCCCGCGGTGCCAGAGATTATTCCGAGCACGGATCGGTTTAGCAAGCCACCTACGAGCTCACCGTAAACCCCCAACCCCAACCGGATGACTGGATGGTCCTAGTCGATTTCGATGGACGAACAGCAACAACAACATTATTGCTTAGTCATCAACAATAATTCGAGATACAAGGATCGTCCGAACGATATGCTGAAACACACTATAAGCTGTCATGTTTTAAGCAATATTTGTCCGCTGACCTTCTAAAAATAGTACCCTATGACATTTTCCGGTCTAAGAAATGACAAAGCCTATTGGGTGGACAAATGGGGCATGAAATTTAATGAAACCAAATGCTACACTATGACAATCTCAAGAAAAGAAAAAAAAAACATTAACTCATATGTATTCACTAAACGAGACAATCCTCCAACAAGTATCCGATAGTCCCTACCTTGGAATTCTCTTTTCAAATAACCTAAAATGATCACCCCATATAAATAAAATTTCAAAAAAAAAGCCAACTCCACCCTAGGTTTCATCCGAAGAAATCTGTGCCACTGCCCAACTTCCTGCAAACTTCCTGCTTGTCTCGCACTCGTCTGGAGTGGAATATGGTGCGACCATCTGGGACCCACACCTTAAGCAAGACGTGGACACGATGGAGCGAATTCATCGTAACGCGGTGCGTTTTATCGCTCGAGACTACAAATCCACCACTCCTGGCTTCGTCTCTGGCCTCTTGAAAAGATTTGACACCCCCCCCCCCTTTTTTTTTTTAAAGACAGACGAGAGGGACTCCGCCTGACATTCTTATATAAAGTGATCATGGGACTGATGCCGACCATCCCAGCAGACACGTACCTCACCCCATAGAAGCCGGGTACACTGATCAGAGCAAAACGCTCACTGAACACGGACTTCACCACCGACATTCCCATAAACAATTACACCAGAAAAAATAGCAAATGCTTCAAAGTGCCTCAGTGCAACACA